AAGTGAAAAGTCTTGCACCAGATGATTGGCTGTGGTTCCTAGATTTTCAGACTACCAATCTCCAGTGGACAACAAAACTTTCTGAAGATAACCAAACAGATAAGGATACTTTTCGTCTGAATTCCCTAAAGTCTTGCTCCTACTGTGTTGGTTTTTTTTTTTTTTTTTTTTTCCTTCCTGCCAAACATACAAAAACATCAAGATTTAACATTAATAACACCAATGACAAGAATGGCAACTCTCGACAGACCATTTTTTTTCTTTCTTACATTTGATCTGTCAGATGCCATGTTTTAAACTCAATACAATACAATTCAAAGTTGAATCTCGGCTTGTGCGTGTATCACTCGCCCCTATGTTACAATCTTATTGCAAGCAATACAACTATTGAACCATACCACACCTAAGACATGTAATTGGAGTAATTTGCAGCATAAGATATTGTTTTTTGAGAGACAAAATGGGAGTGAAGGTCTCAAAATGAGAAGTTCATCATGTCCATGCTCAAGCTCTCCATCATGACATTCTCCATGAATCCACATTTAGCAGGTGCAGCCTTCTTGAAACTCCTGGGCCTGAATGAGCAGGAGGAGAGGGGAATGATTGGAATGTTCTCACAGTTGCAGAGCTCGATCATGTACCCATCAGGGTCATGGAAGAACACCTGATCCACTTTGTTTCCATCGTCCTCCACCACTGCAGTCACGTACTTCATTCCCATGTCTTGTAGCCTCCGCTTGACAAGGCCAACATCTGTGCACTGTTTCCAACATTCCAAAAACAACCTACGTTAGCCTTTGTAAGAACTTAAACTTTCTATCTTGATCCTTCGAATATGTCTATAGCCCCAATAGGGTGGCTCAATGAATATGAGCTTGAGATTATAATTTAAAGATATCAATTTCGAACCTTAAGTTGGTTGTAGAGGGATTTAGGAAAAGGAAATGATTATTCTTCTATCGTTATCAGATGTAACCCAAAAAAGAAAAAAAAAATTGAATATGTCCATGGTTATATATATATACCTGGAAGGAGATGTGGTTATCCTTAGGATTGATTGGCCTTGGTTCAACAATGGTGTCGAAATCATCAAGCGATGGGTTCTCGATTAAGTGTATTCCAATGCCATAATTGTACAGCCTGAAAAGGTCTAGTCAGTAAATGTAAATGCAAGAAACATGAAGCATAAAATTAATCAAGAAAAAGAGATGGTACAGAGCCTAACCAAGCGCCATTGAAGTTGAAAGAAGAAGGCCGTTTGATGACAACAAAGCCTAACACTTCCTCATAAAACCTCACAGAATCCCACACCGACCTGCACAACAATGAGACATGGTTCAATGAGAGCAGTGGCAGGCCCTCGTATTTCCCTACTTCCTCAATCTCCATCTTCCTCTGTTTTCTTTCCTCTGTTTTTTCACTCAACACCCTGCTTCTTCTTTCTTTAGTGCTCACTCGTGGTTATGACTGCCTTACTCTAGGATGGCTTTTATAAAGCAAAATTTCAAGTTATTACCAGGAAATTTCCGGGCAAATTCTATGGAACGCGTTGGGGAATTGTCTTATGCCCTTCATTTCAAAATCGTGAAAATGAAAATCTTTTATGCATTATCCAACTTAATTCATTGTATTCTGTTTTTCCTCTTAAGAGGAAGACAAAAACGCAAGTTGCATTACAAACAAAGTTATTATTTAGTAGCTTGATGATTAATTCTTAAAATGGGTGGGATTTAGAGTGATGAAGGTGAAAACCTCCAAAAAGAAAGGAAATTTCTTTGATGTTTCTAACATTGTCGTTTTTCTTATTCCGATGTTTCACAGGAAGATGAAGGACGTACAGTGGAGAAGTATGATCCTCTTCTATGCATATGAAATTGCCTAAAGAAACTTGTACCCAATTCATGCAAATCCATAAAGTGATATTGGGAAAGCGATTAAGATTACCTTAAGAGCCGTAAGTCCTTGAAATTCTTACGCTTTTTCCAAAGAAGGATCAAAATGGTAGTTGACTCTGCCATGGAACAGTGGAATGGAGTGGAGTATCTGGGAAAGCAGGACAGCAGGAATTTTTAATGGGCTGTTTGTCGACGGGACATCCGGCCCAACAGAGGAGTTAAGACATTAGAGCTTATCATCAGGTAGTCAGGTCCCATGATAATGAAATTGCCTGAACCCTCAAATTCAGGTAGGTACAGATTCACCTTAAATTGCTCTATTAATTAATTAGGTTAAATAAATAATCTCAAATTTAATTGCTTCTTTAGGAAGCTGTTTCATCTGTGTTTTTTTTTTTAAACAAATTTATAAGAGATCAGATTCAAATCGTTACCTAAAAAAAGAGAAAATACACTTAACGAGTGACCTGAGGTTATTGGGCCGAAGGCCCAAGTGCGCTGTTTCATCTGTGTTGATACTTGATAGCAACAAAAAATTGATATTATATGATAATAATAGTTAAATTTAAGATAATTTATCTAACTCAATTAGTTAGAAATAATTTTCCCAACTCAAATATTTGAAGTTTTGACCTAATAAAACTATCTCAAATCAAAAGATTATTCATTAGTAGTTTTTGGGTCTTCATATTCTATTTTTCCAACGTGGGGCTTTTGCCCTCTCTCACCCACGCTTACAATGGAACCTTGGTAAACATGGGCCAAGTTTTCTGATTTGGGATTTTATAGATAACCCATTACCCATATCGAGACTAGATCTTCATCTAACAGACTTCTCCCCATCGATAATGGACCAAGCTAAGACATCCAAAGCTTCAAACAAGATTTTCAACGCTTAGACTTTAGAGCAAAATCACATGGCTTAACTTTGAATCTTTGATTTTGCTGCAGACAAAAAGCCGAAACATGTCATGCCTGGTTGAAAATGGTAGGGGCTACCTGCTCCATTTTGCCCCATTACCTAATTCTCGTTGTTGATCTCTATGTATGTCTCCTTCTACTGCTGAATATATAATCTACCGATTCATTATGGTATTGATTGACTTAACCTAACTCTGTTTTAATTCATCCATGTCCTTTTACAACTGATAAAATGACAGTTTTTTTAATCACCCTACCTATTCTATTCCCATCCCTAAGGTTATATTATACCTTATATGATTTTATTAAAAGAACTTAAAAAAATATATCACTATGTACTGGGATTTGGGAATTTTTTTGTAGATAGAATTTAAAAGATTAACTACAGGCCAAAAAACTAAAAATAAATTTGGAGTTGGAACTTGTGGTGGGATTATTGCTACCTTTAATATTATTATTAAGGTTAAAATATTAATTTGATTCTTTAATTTTTAAATTTATATTAAAATTGTCATTCAACTTTGAAAAGTATTAAAATTGTCTCTAAATTTTAATTTTTGGTACTAAAATAGTCCTCAAATTAAAAATAGTACCAATTTAGTCATTGAATGTTGAAGATGTATACCAACTTAGTTTTTAAATTTTAATTAAAAATATCAATTTAATTTTTCAATTTTAATTATATATCAATTTGATGTGTAAATAAAAATATGTCACGATAATACAATATAATTGTTTGATTTTACACGTCATTAATATTTTAAAAAAGAACTAATTTGTGGTATAATAATGAGTTATGTGATATTTCTGTTAATGGAAGGACTATTTTGATATTAAAAATTTAAATTCAAGGATGATTTCGGTATTTTTTGAAGTTGAAGGACAATTTTGGTACAAATCTAAAAGTTAAGGGAAAAATGGATATTTAAACCTATTATTAAGGTCATTCAAATTTTAAAAAAAATAACATTTAAAAATATTAATTATTATATAATTATTAAAAAAAACATATTCTATATTTTTCTAAAGAAAAATAAAATCTAAAAAGCCTCCACATACCG